TGAACGAAGCGCAGGCCGACGGCCGCGCCTACCTCCGAATATTTCTCGAGACGTTCCCGTACACATCATTTGGGCTACACCCCCCGACAAATCCATCCCAACGCCTGCAGGACTCGATGATCTACGCGCGTCATACCGCGCACGAGCAGGACTCGTCAGTCGTGCTGCTGCAGAAATCGAGGGCGGGAGTTCCTGTCCTCAAGATACTCTGGCATTTGGCTACGTACCAGCGCCACCACGGCCACCCATTCTCGTGGTATATTCGAACGAGAACATCTCTCAGCCATTATTTGACGTTGAGGCAAACTAGGGGGGACAAAGAGTCGTTTTGGCTCTCGTTTGAGCTCGGCCAAGTGCCATATGCGTTTTCACCATGGGCAGCCAGTGTCGTGGCCAAGCCGGGCGACGTACCTGCCCACCCCGACACCCTGTGCGGGAGCTTAGCCCAGTTTGTCCCAACAACTAATGCCAACGACCCCGCCGTGCTGTTGTTTGTAAACGGAGGGGACGTGATCGACATTGTTGACACGGGGACCGGAGCAAGCGGGGGCCATGACTGGGACGGCCGGGGCGCCCAGTTGCTCGCGGATATCCCGCACCACGTGACGCCACGTCACAAGCGCCACCCGACGCCAGCGTTTGGGTTCCGCGGGACGTACGACCAGACGTGTTTGATTGGTGACGGGGCGACGGCGCTGGACGAATCGTTTCACGAGTTGGCCAGTCGACGCATTCGATGGGCGGTGGACGTTGCCAAGAGGATGGAATGGCAGGCAACTATAGTGCATACATAAACTAGGCATCTCCAACACACGCCATTATTGTGGATTTATATGTCGAAATGATGAATCCAGTTGCCGAAAGGAAGGGGGGGGGGCGTTCCGACCTGCGGAGGAGGGGGTGCGAGGGTCGTTTAAAGACTTGTTAAATTTTTGCAAGCATGGTGTTCGTCGGGCATCAGTTTCACCGCCACAATTAATGAACTCATACTAACGGTCATTATTTCATGAACCCTACTTCGGAGTAGTAGTGTACAGTACCAGGGTACTAAAAAACGTTGAGCATTCGTGAAGTAGTTGTAACATCGATATGACTTTTGCTGATAAGTCTCTGCTGGAAGGCACACAAAAGGTCGTGTACTGTACAGTAATCCTACCGACGATGGCGAGAATGGATGGTGTATTGATTGCCTAGCCGAGGCTCGTAATCTTCGATTTGTTATACATAAACACAACTGGAAACAATTCCTCGGATGGGTCCACAAGATTCACCACAGATGGGCATCCATCGTTCACAGCAAACTCAACATGCCGTAGCGCACGTCGAATTGTCACCACGTCGCCTGCTTGCAAGCTTGGAAGAGCCAGGACTTGGTCGTTTTTTCTATTGAAGGCCCCCGTTGACTTGTACAGGTAGCATCTCGACATGGAGGATCCGGAAGTGACGTCGATATCCCTGGGGCCAAGGCCGATACGCCATTCACCGATGTCAGTGTCAACGCGGACTTGAAATGTTCCCATTAGCGGCTCCATGGCAACGGTACACTGCCACTGTGCACCACTTGAACCCATCTGAATCGTTCGCAAGTCTTGCGATAACTTCATTTTTGGACCATGCACTGTACGATTCCATCGCACAGGTATCATTTGCGCGGAGACCCCTTCGTCAAGCTTCAAATACTCCAGCATCGCCGAAAACTCGTCCCTCTCGACGGAAGTCAATCCATCCAGCGACATGAGCTTTCCCGTGCGCAGAAATATAAGCACGCGTCGAAAGAGAAGGGGATCCAGGTCCAAGAAGTTAGGGTCGCCGTCGGGTTTCCATCGTCCAGACCCCAGCAACGCGTGAAAGTACGTGCCTTCCCCACGCAGCAACGTATCTTTGGATACGTTTGGAACGTTGTGCCGCCAACGTTCAACGTGACAAGGTTGGGGTGGCGGTCTACATTTTGTTGAATGCGGGCTTCGAGCTCGGCCCACGCGATCACTTTCTTCTCCAACACACCCGCTTCTGCATGGGCATGGCTAAACGCTGTGTCAATGGCGGCTGCCACTTTCGGTTCCAACGCGTGTAGGTCGGCATTCAGGTGGTCAAAAGCAGTGCGAATGGCTGTTGCCACGTGGTTAGCACACTGGGACCAACGAGTTTGCCATGGCAGCGCAAGGCGAAATGACAAGTGAGTGAAGATTCCAACTGCCACCCACTCATGGGACGAGGTCTAACGACCGTTGTTCAAACCTCAATGCCCTAACACGTTACTTCACCTGTACATATAACCACGCTTTGGAATAAAGCTGATTGTACACTCGTGTCGTCTTTTGATGAGGTGATGCTTCTGGATGTCACCCGCCGACCTCTGGACGACGCCACTGTACCTTGATACAGGCACTTTGTTCTTCTACGACCGCGTCCTCAACTTCAACTTTTGGCTGAACGAAGCGCAGGCTGACGGCCGCGCCTACCTCCGAATATTTCTCGAGACGTTCCCGTACACATCATTTGGGCTACACCCCACTTTTCGATCGACCCGATCATGCCGCGATTTCCACGACATTCCCGCAGGCCACGCGGGGCATCGTGCTGTCGCTTCATCATCATGCGATGGTTCCCATCGGTGCGTCTCTCGTCCGTGAGCTACGATCACTGGGAAACAAAGACCCGATTCAAGTCATGCACTGCCTTGCATCGGAGCTGCCCGAGGCGGACCGAGCGCTGCTGCTGGATATTAAGGACGCTAACGTGGAAATTATCGACGTGTGCTCGTTGATGGTGGCGGCGGACTTGCTGACCGCGGAGGCGGCGACAGATTTTCAAAACTACTGGCTCAAGCCACTGGCGGTGCTCGTGACATCTTTTGATGAGGTGATGCTCCTGGACGTGGACAACCTCTTCGTCCGCGACCCCGCCGAGCTCTGGACGACGCCACTGTACCTTGATACAGGCACTTTGTTCTTCTACGACCGCGTCCTCAACTTCAACTTTTGGCTGAACGAAGCGCAGGCTGACGGCCGCGCCTACCTCCGAATATTTCTCGAGACGTTCCCGTACACATCATTTGGGCTACACCCCCCGACAAATCCATCCCAACGCCTGCAGGACTCGATGATCTACGCGCGTCATACCGCGCACGAGCAGGACTCGTCAGTCGTGCTGCTGCAGAAATCAAGAGCGGGAGTTCCTGTCCTCAAGTTGCACTGGCATTTGGCACGTCGCCTGGCTTGGCTATATTACGACACTGGCTGTCCATGATGAAAAAGCATACGGCACTGGTCGAACTCAAACGAGAGCCACAACGATTCTATGTCCCCCCTAATGTGCTCGACATCAATGAACGGCAAAGACTAGGTCTACGAGAATGGTTGGTCCTGGTGCATCAATAGTTGGTTGCGCGTAGCTAAGTGATAGCGTTAAGGCTACTACGTTATCACTAAGCTAAGCGCAACCAACCATTGAATGTATCGTCGGGAGAACACCTTGGTCTCGCGAGAGGACATCTTGGTAAGCGAAAGGACACCTTGGAGCGACCACTACATATGATATATTAAACGTTTCTGGCTAACATTTTTGTAACGTTAACAAAAGTTATGCTCTAAGGCACCCTCGAAGCTGTCGCGCACTGTTAACAAAGCAAACCAATATCGTTATTTTTACCAAAACTACCCAAAAATACATCCAATATTTGGCAACCCCCCCAAATTTGATCAACGCGCCCTGTCTATTATTTATTGACTTTTTATGGCGACGGGTGAGAGGAGAAATGCGCGTCTCGGGTGCTGGACGTGGCGCCATCTCTTGTGGCTGCTCTGGCTAGGCATCGTGGTCACAATGGCCTCGACATTTGGCCTCATCCAGCGCCACTGGACGTACGTGCCACCCGTGAATTTAGCAGCGCAAGCCGCGTACGCGACCAAGTTCCCCAACGTCACGCGCGGCATCGTCATGACGATGAGCGATGCCATGGTACCCATCGGTGCGTCTCTCGTGCTCGAGCTTCGATCACTGGGCAACTCGGACCCAATTCAGGTCATGCACTGCCTTGCATCGGACCTGTCGGCTCGATCGATCGACATTTTGACCGCCACCGACGCCAACCTTCAAGTGGTGGACATCTGTCGGGTCCTCCTGGACGCCGACCTCCTCCCCAGCGTGGACATCGCGAGCGAGTTCCAAAGCTACTGGCTCAAACCACTTGCGTTGCTGCTGTCGTCGTTTGACCAAGTGATGCTCATGGACGCAGACAACATTTTCCTTCGCAACCCGAGCCTGCTTTGGAATTCGACGCAGTACACGGACACAGGCACGCTGTTTTTCTACGATCGAGTGATTCCATCGAACTGGGGACTCAATGAACAACGCGGCGGTGTATCCTACCTGTCGACGTTTCTCACGCAGTTTCCATACCATTCGTTCAATCTCACGGCCCCGAAATGTCCTTCCGAGAGGTTACGGGGGTCAGCCATGTTTGCCCAACGCACCGCCCATGAACAAGACTCGTCGCTAGTTCTCCTGGACAAACGTCGAGCTGGCCGCAACGTCCGCAATATTCTGTGGTACTTGACCACACATTTGCGATTCAAGCAAAGCACTCCGTTTTCACATGGGGATAAAGAGTCGTTTTGGCTTGCTTTTGAGCTCGGGCAGGTGCGGTATGCGTTTTCGCCGTGGGCTGCCAGCGTCGTGGCCGCCCCAGGAGACATGGAAGCCCACCCTGAAACTCTTTGTGGGAGTTTAGCCCAGTATATCCCAACGTCGAATGCCTCAGCAGTGCTGCTATTTGTAAACGGACGCGGTGTGATCGATGTCACAGACGTACTGGACAGTAGGGGCGACAAGATGCCGAACGACGCCACCACGAATTGGACAGCGCGAGGGGCGACGCTGACGGAACGCATTCCGCGGTATGCTGTGCCTAGATACACGAGGGACCGAAATACATCCAACCTCGCCTTGTTCGACCAAACGTGCTTGGTGGATGCCCACGCTACCGCCATATCCCCTGCCTTTATCGACAGAGCGGCCCGCCGCATTCATATGGCGGTGCAGGTTGCATCGAGAATGCAATGGTAGCTAAAACCAGTGATTACTTTATGCAGAAAATCCCATACAACTGAAGTGCAATCTACTAACTATTATTGTGGGTTGTTCACTCAAAATTTCCTCCCGTTGTTGAATGAGTCGCCGGACCTTCGAAATTTCATATAAAACGAAGTTGAAGAGGTATCTTTGTGACGACTACGAACAATCAATCTTTTTAGCCAATCAAATTGCAACCTGCATTCTTTGTAGCCAATCATACTCCTTTGCTCGATGAATTGGCGATTTCATCAATCCCCCAAAATAGGTAAATATGACTGAAAAGCACAATAATAGTAGTATTACGAGTATTACGCAACCCAACATCAACAAAATATTGTTGATTCGGTACAAATTTCCAGACCCTTTCGAATCTCGCCGCTGATTCGAATCACGAATCGACGCTATTGGCTAGGCCAATTTATTGAGGATTTGATTGTTCTTACAGAAAGGACACTTATATTATTCAACCAATCAGAGCTCCTGCTTGATTCAATATTGATATAGACAAACCACGCGAATATTGGAAGTTTATAGCGAATATTATTGAGCAACCTTTAACGTCATAACATTATAATAAACACAACACTCGGTAGACCTATTTCCTCATCCTCGCTAACTTTATCAAGCTTCAAGAGCTAGCCACTGTGGAGCATAATGTCAACATTACCCACGGTGTCGTCGACTCCATCGGGAGCAGCGTTTCCATTTGCCTCTTGCCCGCGGCGGTATGTCGCCGCAGCGGGCTACGCCTTGGCAAACCATGGGAAGTTGTACTCGTGGTCGTCCTTGACGTCATTGCCAAACTTGCTTAGCACGTTGATCAACACATCGCGTCCTTTGAGTCCCAGCGTGGCATCGTCCGACTTAAAGATGTCGTTCCACAGCTTGTAGTACGCCGTGAACACTAGTTCCACTCCACGAGGGTCTTCCGTGTCGTGGTACCACACGTCGTAATCCTGCATGCTCAAATACGCCGCCATGGCGATACAAAACGCATCTTGAGGTTTCTTGGCCGTCAGAAGCTTGCGCGACGCGGCAATTTCTTTCTTGTACACTATCATCATGGGGTACGACGACGACGTGTCGAACATGGAAAATCCACTGTCGTCGTTCCCTGTGACTTTCATGATGGTCTTGTTGATCTTATCCGCGCGGGTGAACGTTGCTTTGCGCGGCACCTCCACTTGTTTGGACGTGTCGTTTGCGGGGGGCTCTTGACGCTGGCGTTTGGCTGGTCGTTCGCCGCCTTCATCGGCCTCGTCCTCATCCTCTTCGTCCTCTTCTTCTTCGTCGTCCTCGTCGCCGCTCGCAAAGTCAATCACAGCACGGTCGTTCGCAAGGAGCTCTTTGGCCGTCGGGGCTGCGTCAGGCGTCGCGGCCTCGGCTGTGGTGTTGGTTGTTCCCGCCATGATTCACCCTCGCGCTCAAATTGTCGTTTTAACCAAACCAGAAATCCCCGCTTACTGGTAGTTTGGTTAATTATCATCCAATCATTGCTCCTTTGCCTGATTTTTCCACCAATCAAACTTATTCGTGTTCGAACTTATTTAATTACTACAGTAGTACCTCGTGTTTGCATGTGAATATAAATTGGCAAATTAATTTCGTCCTCGTGCTTTTGACGTTGAAGTCTCCAACCTGGCAACAAACATGCTGTAGGCAGTGAAGTGGCGGGACCGATGACTTACAGTGGGCATGTCATGGCAATCGTTCTTGACGATGAAGAGGTTCATTAGCGAGGGAAATCGCCTCGAGAATGCCGGCTGCCGCCTGTGGCACATGCAGCGATTGAATCGCCTCGCCGCCCGAACCGACGCGGTCGACGACCCGCACAACGACATCCTCCGCGCAAGAGCGTCTACTGCAACTTTACCTCGACGACGCTGTCGTGCAATAGATGTTGCCATGATGTGTATTGCGTTCGGTGCTTTAAGCTCATCCATATGCGAGGACGTTTCGCTCCACGTCCACCTTCCTCCAGACAGGTTTGTCATGTCCTCGCAAACGTCGTGATATCCTGCCATGTTACAGTATGTAGTCGAAAACAACAACGTTTGTCCCCGCAGCAATGGCGCCGCCATCCTCCGACCCAGCCGCAATCGTCCCGTTGTCGTGCAAAATGTGTGGGAACACAACATGGATGCGCTGTTCCAAAAGGTCATGGCCACGAGTTCACAATCAATCTGCCCAGCGACATGGAGGTATCCCACCCACTTCCATCTCCATCTGGTCACACCATAGAACATCCTTCGTTCTCTCATCCTTCTCATCGTTGTTGCGGTAGAGTGCCTACCGCACGGACCCCCGAGTGCAACACTTGCAAAGACCCCCACATAACCACCCTGTGCCCCTGCTTTTCAACCTGCATCGAGTCATCGTATCCGTGATTCCCCCATTGTGGCGACGGACTTGCAAACTGCCATCGCGTTGTGACACCGAGTGTCCCGTATAGTAGTAGTGGAATGCGCGTGGAAGATCATGGACAAGGCCGTGTTTAGTAGACAAGGACATAGTAAGCCACGTGTCCAAGCAACGATCGATGGATCGATCGATCATGACGGACGTGTGTAGGAAGTTGGTCGAGGATGGGATTGAACGCAACGACAGACACGTTGTTCCGTCAAGTGTTGACGCAGATCGTGCTTACCATACGCACGAATGCTTTGTCGTGCAAGTCATCTTGCTGTTTGAGACCCACGATCATTTGTATGACGAGATGGTGTTGGTTGTCGTCGTTCTTGGTAGATAGATTGCCGTCGGTAGGTGGTCGAGATGGAGCTCATGTATGGAGGAGACGTCTTCGATCGGATTGCAGATAAGGGTCCCATGTCCGAGCACGAAACCGCCAACTTCCTCTCGCATCTCATCCAACGCATTGACTCTTGCTTGAACAACGTCGTGATGTCAAGCGGTATACCAGGATTAATAGCTTTATTTTGCCTATTACTACGTAGTAGTATTACTATTAATACTTCGAATTTGACAAGTTGAACTGATATCATTGGCTTATTTAAACCAATCATAAGGTTGGTCAGAATGACCCATAATCTCTCGGTTATGATTGGATACAAGAAACTTCGGTAGGCCAACTACACTGTAGCATATGGTACGTCGAAGGTAAATATAAACCGTACCGGTACTTGTATTGAGTACCAGTAGACATAATGGCCTAGTCTACTAGTGTGACGTGGGATGCATGCATTGTCAACAAGCACTTCCATAATGCCGTTCGACAGACATTCAAGATCATCGCCGCTTGGGTTGGCAACGACCATCGTTGCTTGAACTTGTGCACTTGTGAATTCACAGCCTTCGAAATACCGTAGGTGGGCGTTTCAGATGTTTCCATATTTGCTATTGTTGCCATGACCGCCGCCGACCAACTCGGAAGTCCCTTGGGTGGCCGTTTCTGGCCCGTGACCAAGAAGTATTGGGTCCTCTTTGCGGTGCTTGGCACGGTCGCCGTGTGTCTGTACTCGACAGGGACCGAATGGACTCTGCTCAACTTACAAGCGACATCGTTGTCGGTTGGGGTGCACAACAAGCCGCATGCCCTGAACCACTTGACCTCCTCTGGTGATTCGCTTGGCGAGACAGCCAACGACACGCCAGACAAAAACACGACGTCTAGTGTGGAGCCGAGCAGCTCGCCGCCCCTGCCAGCCCCATCGACAGCGCATTCACCTTCTACCGCCACCACCCCCTCAACCGGGGAGCACATTATTACACGTGAGCACGTGGCCATTGTCGCGTATGTGCCCCCTGGCATGCCCAAGTTCGTTCGTGAAGCGCAGCACATGCTGTGGTCATCTTGGAACTACTCCGTCCATCAAGTGGACCCCTCTACCCGCGGCAACACGGACTTGATCTTTTTTGCGCACCACGACGTGGTCGATGGCATGCCCGCGTCCTGCGTTCGCCTTGTGGACATCTCGCACGCACCGTCCAAGTCCTCGTCGACGTCGTCGGCGGCGGACCGATGCTACGTCGTCGAGCATACGCCACCGGCAGACGCATACTGGCACCGGTACAACTTTATGTTTAGCTTGTCGTTTCTGGCCGAGCCAGCGTATGAACCACTACTTATGTCGTACGACCGACTGCTGCGCACCGACACGGACGTGGTGATTACGCCGGCGTTCCTGACGTTCAGACCTCGGCAATTTGTGGTCGGGCGAGGCGGGTACATGATTGAAGAGTACACGAAAACCCGCATCAAACAGCTCGCGACGGACCTCCACATGACCCACCAAAGCCTGTACAACGTCGGGTCGACCTGGTTTGGCAACACGTCGGTAAGTTGTTCCAGTTGCTGGCAACGTTGCACACACACACACACACATGGACGTTAGGTAACGTTGCTAATGGTGCCCAAGATGCTCGACGTGGCCAAGTTCATTCTCGAAAGCCCGAAATATAACCAAGACGAAGGGTTTCCAAGGTGGCACCCCAATGTGGCGTCCATGTATGCCGGTGAATTGGTCGTGAATCATTTCATTCCCAAGGAAAACGTGTGGGTCAATCTCGATAGCCTCGACATCAACTGCAACGGCCACGAAAAGACGGCCGACGTGTACCATAGCCACTGCTGGCCAGGTATATATATCACTGTTTGTATTGGCGATATATATATATATATATCATCACTGTTTATATTGATGATTTGATGATGTTGCAGGAGAGTACCAAGGGTACTTTAAAAAGTGGGCGTTCGAGCGAGGCGAGTACACTCCCGTGACGTTTCCCCGGGACAAACTGGACATTGCAGTCATCAATGATTACTTTATGGCGATGGCTGTATATGGCTATTAACAATCCATGCACTTGAGCATTTCGATTGTCCAGTGGAATCGACGAGCGATCCCCACTACTGTATTCCCAGACCAACGCTTAACCTTATGCTACAGTCCTTTTGCGGTTGTTCACTGTCAGCAAACACTTCACTACATTAACGATTACCAGTAACAGTACAGCACTACTGTTAATACAACTACGTATGTAGTACTAGTAATAGTAGTACTTACTTACTATACGTATAGTAGTACTATATATGTTCCAGACCACTTTTTCACGATTTACATTCAATCAATTTTGTCAAGGCTTTGTAGTTGACATATATTGTGCTTTGTGGCGTGGTTTCTCGTTGGAATTTGCATCGATTTGATTGGCTACTTCAGATGAGCTCAAAATTATTAACCAATAAAAACCTTCTAAATGAAATTCAACCAATCAGATCGATTGTGGATCGGTTTGATTCGATTGCACCCCCCAAATTTGTATCAAATCGACAATACTACAGTAGTAGGCATTCTTTTTTTAAACTGTAAATAACCACAATCTGACTGTGAATGTGAATTCAGGCGACTGTTTGTACTAACAGTAATTTTGTGGAAGAGATATCCTAGAAAGAAAAGAGGAATGATGATCAATTTTCACCGTACTAGTCAATTCGTTTTGATAAATAATATCTGATCTAAGTGTTGAATTATCCATAGATAGAGGTTTTGGTTCACATACGTGGTACAGTATAGTTTGTCATAAACTGTATAATATTATAGAAATTGTACATAACAAGTACTGGGACCAATATAAGTGGGACAGAGGTAGTAAGTACTAGTATTGTGCTTTTCATGTAGTTTGCCCGTTCTTTAACTGCGTTAAACAACCAGACGTTTAAAATAATATAAGCCCTATTGAATATAAAACAACGCTAAACACAAGTTCTGCATTTCAGCAGAATAAAACAACCCTTACTTTATTTCAGCTGCTAACGTTAACTAATCGAGTTGCAGCACCAGGCCAACTTACGCCGTACAACCACCAGTTCATCACGATGCATACCGTATTAGGATGTGAAATGGGAGTACTATACATCGTGTAGTCGTAGTGTGCCCTTGCCTTCCACGTACAGTGCTAACAGGTTAGAGCA